GGACCCCATTGTGCTGGTCGCGGGACAAACGCAGACCAAAGACCCGGCCCAGTGAGAGGGCGTCTGGCCGGCCCTGGCCCTTTAAGGGCAAACACCCAGCCCTGCCTTTGGACATTGTGCACTGGCGTCCAGCAAGAGGCCCACGTGTGAGGGGGATTCTGACCCGTTTTGCCTCCGCGGAAGTGGACACACATGGCGCAGGGCAGCGTTGTGCTGGTCGCGGGACAAACGCAGACCAAAGACCCGGCCCAGTGAGAGGGCGTCTGGCCGGCCCTGGCCCTTTAAGGGCAAACACCCAGCCCTGCCTTTGGACATTGTGCACTGGCGTCCAGCAAGAGGCCCACGTGTGAGGGGGATTCTGACCCGTTTTGCCTCCGCGGAAGTGGACACACATGGCGCAGGGCAGCGGGGAATCGAGCCCTGTCACCCTCCTTTGGCCACCCCGGTGTAAATCAGGAGTGAGCACGTTTCAGTCAATGGGACTACACCAAGCTGAGCGCGCTGGAAGGGGCGGGGAGAATCCGAGCCCGGCTCTTGCCTTTGCAGGGAGATGGACTTGATGACCTAGTGGGTTTTGTCCATCCAGTAAAGCATTAGACACGGTCTCACGTGACCTTACCAGCAAACTAGGGCAATACAACCTAGCCGGGCTACTCTAAGGTGGGTACGTAACTGGCTGGATAACCGTTGTCAGAGAGTGGTTATTAACGGTTCACAGGCCTGCTGGAAGGGCATAGCAAGTGGGGTCTGTGTTGGGGCCGGTTCTGTTCAATGTCTTCATCAGCGATTTCGATATCGGCGTAGAGAGGACACTTATTAAGTTTGCAGATGATCCCAAGCTGGGAGGGTTGCAAGCGCTTTGGAGAACAGAGTCATCATTCAAAATGATCTGGAGAAATGGGCTGAGGTCAATAGGATGAAGTCCAATAAGGACACCTGCAAAGTGCTCCAATTAGGGAGGAACAATCTGTGTCTCTCACAGAATGGGAAGCGGCTGTCTAGGAAGGAGTCCTGCAGAAAGGGATCTAGGGGTTATAGTGGACCACAAGCTAAATATGAGTCAACAGTGTGACACTGTTGCCAAAAAACCCCAACATGATTCTGGGAGGCATTAACAGGAGTGTTGTAAACAAGACACGAGGAGTCGTTCTTCCGCTCTACTCGGCACTGATTAGGCCTCAACTGGAGTATTGGGTCCAGTTCTGGGCACCGCATTTCAAGAAAGATGTGGAGAAATTGAAGAAGGTCCAGAGAAAAGCAGCAAGGAAGATGAAAGGTCTAGAGAACAGGAGCTATGAGGAAAGGCTGAAGGAACTGGGCTTCTTTAATTTGAAAAGGAGAAGACTGAGAGGGGACAGGAGAGCGGTTTTCAAGCACCTAAAAGGGTGTCACGGGGAGGAGGGAGACACATTGTTCTCCTTGGTCTCTGAGGACAGGACGAGAAGCAAGGGGCTTAAACTGCAGCAAGGGAGGTTCAGGTTGGACATTCAGAAAAACTTCCTACCAGGGTGGTGAAACACTGGAATAAATTGCCTGGGGTACTGTGGAATCCCCGTCACTGGAGAGACTGAAGAGCCAGTTGGACAGACGCCTGCCAGGAATGATCTAGAGACGATGCTGGGTCCAGCCGTGAGGGCAGGGGGCTGGGCTCAATGACTCGCGAGGTCCCTTCCAGTTCTAATGTGACTCTGTGATCTCCAGCTACTGTGGCTCTCCTGCAGCAGCCTCAAGGACGTTCCCCCGCCACCCTCGCATGGCCAGCCTGCAGCGATTTCGTCGGGTGGGGGCCCGGATGCCTGTCGGTCGGGCAGGGAAGCCTGGGGCGGATTTCTGGCAGACAAGGATTCCCCACAAGCGTTTCTCCCCTGTCCCATCCAGCCCTGGCGTGTTTTCTGCCTTTCTCAGTTCAACATCACTGTGAAACTTGGCCTGACTCCTGCGCCTCTCTTGCCATGTCTGTGCAAGGGGGATACAGGGCCAAGTTCCCCCCAATTTCAGTGGAGCCTGGGTGTGGCCCTAGGTCCCTGTCGCCCAGGGGCACCCGGGCTGGCCTGTTAGGAGTCTGCTTCTTTGGGCGATGTGGTCCCGGCAGGGTGAGGCTCCTTTGCGGAAGCTTCGGTGTGAAGGTTCCAGGCCGGGTGTGCTCTAATCCCAGGATATAAAGGCTAGATCGTGGCAGACGGGCCTCGTCCTTCCTGTGGATCTGAGACAGCTGGCTCCTGCCTGGGGCAGGCGCTCCGTGGCACGTGAAGGGCCAGGCTGGTCCTGGGTGTGATTCCACGGACGCCATTGGGGTCAGGGCTGAGCGTGGCCCGTTGAGCGGGTCACATTAGTGGCCAGCGCGGGTGTTTGCATCTGTTCTTGCACCAGCAGGCCTGAGCCCGTGAAGGGGAACGTGGGCCGAATGTCCCAGCACTATTCCCGGTGGCCGGGGGAGTGGGGACACAACCAGTCTGTGGGGTCCCTTCCCCAGTGTGGAGTGGCGGGAGTTTGATCAGTTTCAAGCAGACTGGACCAAGCCCTGGGGAACAGGGTGAGCAGAGCAGCTGCCTGCCTGTGGGATCCCAGTTAACCAGTTAAATGTAACATCCCTAGCCCTGATCCCACCCCCAAAGAGCCTTCCATAGGGTCAGCTTCGCCCTGTCTCCCGCCCCGGTGGGGGGGCATGGAGCAGGGCGGAGAGAGCAGAATTGCTGAGCCCTTGGGAGCCAGCAGGAGACGGGTGCTGTGGACTGACCTTTGACCCTGGTGATTAGGGTTCCTGCGGCGGTCAAGGTCTCCAAGGTGTTGAGCAGCGGGTACTTGATGATGAGCTGCCGGAGGACACGCAGGGCTTCCCCGAGGCACTCGTGGGCCAGTGGCCGCTGCTGGGACTCCACAAGATCTGCAATAGAGAGGGGTCAAAGCAGTGATCACTGTCCTTCAGTACCAACCCCCCCACGCACCTCCCTGCCCGTGTTCCTGCGGCGGTCAAGGTCTCCAAGGTGTTGAGCAGCGGGTACTTGATGATGAGCTGCCGGAGGACACGCAGGGCTTCCCCGAGGCACTCGTGGGCCAGTGGCCGCTGCTGGGACTCCACAAGATCTGCAATAGAGAGGGGTCAAAGCAGTGATCACTGTCCTTCAGTACCAACCCCCCCACGCACCTCCCTGCCCGTGGCAGCGGG